TGTGCAGAGAATTGGAATGAAAGCAATTTCAATTGACCTTTGAATGGGGTTTTAATTTGCTTTATTACAACCAAGGGGGCCTCATGAAGAGACCCTTGAGACTGCTTTTATCCACTAATGTGTGCATTAGTGCAACAGCCTGGGCTCCATCTGGATGCCAGGGACAGAGGGGAGAAGGCCAGAGAGGGCTGGGAGCCACAGTCCACACCCCTCCCAGGAGCTGGTTCACAGCCCCAAAGAGTCCAAAGTGGAGTCACAAGTGAAGAAGCAGTGGGAGGACAGCTGGTTTGGGTTCCAGCCCCAGATGTGTTGCCAGAGGGCCTGGGGGTCTGGTCCAGCACCACCCCTATAGGCCTGTCTCCTCATCTGAACAGTGGGGAGTCGGGGGGTTGTGGACTAGATGGTCTCTTCGTCCCTTCCAGGCCTGATGTTGTACAGTTTAAGCTCAGATCTACAGGCAAACTCTGGGGTAGAAAATGACTAATCTTATAGAACATGGCCTAGAGTGAGGACAGCAGAGCCTGCTGGGCCGAGGAGCCAAGATCTGTCCCTTGATCTCTTGGGCCTTACTTGTACCCTGTATTTCCTAAATTTGTGCTCCAGTCCACTCACATGGGCCAGCCAGTTCTCTGTTCCTTCCTTTCCAATCCTAGGGGGAACCGCTGGGGTAGCTGGATGAATTACCTTTGTTTCCACTGGGCAGAGCCCTATAGGCAGCTATGTTGGGGTCCAGGTGGCCTGAGGATGGCCAGCCCTGGGCAGAGAGCCCCCTGCAATGGCTTCTCTGCAGAGGGCCAATTTCAGTATGACACCCTGGGACAGAGTCCTGTAAGTCTGTGTCTATAGTCTCTCATTAGAAATGGCAGGTCCTCTCTAGTGACCTGCCTCTCTAGGTGTGCTCTCTAGATGTTTGGCCATGTGGAACCATGGGTGTGTTTCTTTCAGAATCACTCCCTTATCCTGATCCTTTTCTTCAAACTGAGGGCTTGTTCCTGTGCAATCAGAGTGGACTTCCTGGAGGTGGGGTCTTGCTGAAGATGTCACAGACATAAGGACACATAAGGCTCTCCTATGTGACATCTCTGCAGCCACTCATTCCAGATAGAGCCCCAGTACCTGCAGCCACTATTCTGAGGCAGAGGTGGTCATAATGGTCCTTTTGTGGAGAAGTATCTTCGTTAGATCCACCAGCATAACAGCTGATTTTCCAGAAGAAGGCAGAGTTCTCCAGCCAGGGGTTGAGGTCAGAAGGGTAATGTGGTAGCCTGGAAGGATGCTGATAATGTACATCCATTAGTGCATCACAGAGAGGCATTTAGAAGCCCCGGAACTGTCCTCCTTCCAGACCCAACAATGGGTGCATGAAGGGGGCCTAAATTGGCTTTCTTACAAGCTCAGTCCCTGTGTCTGAGCCCCACCCATTAGGTACCCATCATCCATTCTCATGCCCCACTCAAAGGTATGTGGGCCCAGAGAGCTGATGCCTTGCCCTAGAGTCCTATTTGCCTGAGAGAGCGATGCCAGGCCGGGACAGAGTGGGAGCACAGTGACCTGATCTGGGCAGCTCCAAGAGCCCATTACTCTGCATATGCACCCGACCCCGAGCACGCCAATGTGCACGTGATGTGCACAGTGCAAGGATATCTGGAAGGTAGTTTGGTTTGGCTTTCAACAAACTGACCAAAACCTTTATGTCCAGATGAAAGTGATTCCCTTCAAAGCATCCTCTGGGCAGTTGTCCTTGATGCCCAGGATGGGGAGTTGGGAACATGGGGTGGGGGTGGGCTGAAGCCTTTGGCAGGCTCCTCTTGGGGAGCTGCCTCCAGGACCAGTTTCTCGTCCCCTGAGAAGACCACTCTTCCGACTCTGGAGTCACACTTTTAAAAATGTATTGATTATGTTCCTTTTATTTTTCCTATATATTACAGTCAGGTGTTCATATTGAAATTCTTTCTATTCATGATAAGGATGGGAAGGTTATATTATCTGTGAATTTCATTTCAGGATAGTAAATAAGATCTTACAGCATATTTTCTCTCAAAGGGGAATTTTGTGCTTGTGGGGATGAAAATGCAGCTACTTTGGAAAATAGCCTGTGGTTCCTCAAAAAGCTAAACATAGAGTTACCATATAACCCAGCAATTCCATTCCTGGGTATATTGTCCAGAACCTACACACAAGTGCCCGTAGCAGTGTGTCTTGTCAATGGGTTTCAGCCCCAGGCAAGTTTGCTATGGATTCAGTGTAACCAAAGAAATTGATAGCAAAACGTTCTTTGGGGTGAAAGGGTTATACCCAACTTTACTTCCAGGTGGCAGGTCAGTCACTAGAATCCCATTCACTCAGAGCGAGTCTGCATGCAGCAAGCTGGTCTCTGCCTCTGGGCCCCTCTGTCCGCACAGCTGTCCTCTGAACCCCTCTGCACAGTCATCCCACACAGCCGTCCTCTGGGCCTCTGTCCTCGGCGTTGCCACCACTCCAGCCTCTGCTCTGGTCTCCTGCAGCTTTGCAGCCGTGCCACCATGTCGCACGCAGAGCACTGGGCAAAGCTCTTTATATAGAGTCAACAGCCATGTATTGCCCACAGGTGTGCAGTGAACTAGTCAACCACAGCCAGGTGAGAATCCCGGCCACAGGAACTCTCATTTTATCCACACAGTGTTATTCATATTGGTCAAAAAGTGGAAAACACCCAGATGTCCATCAACTGATGCAGTATGTCCTATACAATGGAATATAATTCAACAATAAAAAGAAATGAAGTACTGATAGATGCTTTATCATGGATGAATATTAAGAACATTATGAGAATTGGAAGAAGCCAGGTGCTAAGCCTACACACAGTGCATATATATGAAATGCCCAGAATCGGCACATCCATACAGACAGAGGGCAGATTAGTGGTTGCAGGGCCTGGGGTGTTGGAGAGGAAGGGGAGTGATTGCTACTGGCCACAGGGGCTTCTTCTTGGAGTGATGAAAATGTCCTAAAATTGTGGTGATGGTCGCACAGCTCTGTGAAAATAATAAAAGCCATCTTACTGCGTGCTTTAAATGGATGAATTTATGGTATGTGAATTATATCTCAATAAGCTGTTACTTTTTAAAGGTGTGATTTTTTGAGAGAGAGAGAAGTGGCTACAGAGAAAGCCATGTGTTGAGTCTTTCAATGTAACAATAGAGGAGCAATTCGCTAGATACAAAGCTGTGAAAACTGCCCAGACCCAGGACCCCTTTGTGTAAGAAAGACTATCCAGTTCTTCCCTCCTGGGTCTGTCTTTCCTGTGTGTCTCCTTTACTACTCACGCTTCTGACACTCACTTCTGACACTTTGGGTCACCAGTTGTGAATGGAGTTTTCCCCACACCAGGCAGTTCTCTGCACCATCAGCTGGGTGTCCTACAATTAATTCACTTCTAACACTAACCACCTGGAGATTGCATCAGATCCCCCCAGTTAAGGGCTCACTCCTACGAGACTGCTGCCACCCATTTCAGATGCCAGGAGAATGGGGTGTCAGGCTGAAAAGGCCAAACTTCTAACCATGGCTTGGTCTTCCTGGTGACCAGCCCCCTCCAGGAGTCCCAGGAGTCCACCTAGAGTCACCTCATTAGAACAAAAGATGCTCGTGGTGCTCTTATCACAGGAATTTACAAGAGATTTAAGGGCCCTGTGTCAGGGACAGGGTCAGACACTAAAACAGGGGATGCTTCTAGTGCTCTTACCACTTAGGAAATTACCAGGGTCTTAGGAACAGCACCAGGACTAGGGGACACAGACCAATTTATATTTTCTATTATCTCACCCCCTTCCATGGAAACCTCCTATAACAGCCTGGGAAAGCCCATCCCATCTGAACATGCAAGGGAAAAAAGGAATATGATCTAACACCTTAAGGAGTTATTACAAAGGAGGGGGGAGTGGGACAGAAATTGTGAAAGAATGCTTATTGGAATAAAAATTGTAGTAGGAAAAAATGATGTTTCACAGATAAAGACAAAATTAGAAGAAATACAAGAGAAAATAAACAGAAGCACAGAAAAGTAATCAAGTGTAAAAAGATAGGGAAAAAAGAAACAAAAGGCTTCTAGAGAAAATAGTAGATAAATAAGCAAGTCAAGGTAAAGAAGCAAGATACGTATTTTACTGGGGTCCCCAGAAAAGTAAAACAAAGCAAGGGCACAAATATTAAAGACTGTATGTCAAGGAGATGTTGCTGTAATGATCTGAAAATACAGACATACACATATTTTAATATTTATGTTGGAAGGGCATTCCATAACTTGAAAAGGTGACTCAAAATTTTCAGTACCTACAAATACTCCAATACAAACCTTGGGTTTTAATTTTAAGGAAAGCAATTTTTTAACACAATACAAAAGCCCCCAGTCTGTATAAATCAGAGCAAAGCCAAGGAAAATCAGATTGGCATCAACCAGAGAAATTTTAATTGAAGCAACATTGCCATGGAAAAGTGTGAGCCAAGGATTTATCTTTAGCTAAACTCTCCTTCAAGTGTAGGGCCACAGACAGCCAGGAACGAACACACAGGAATTTACCATGGACCAAATTTAAGGAAACCACATGACTGTTTTGAAGCTTCAGCCTAAGTCGGGGCCATTGAATATTGGATGTAAGCAGCTGAAGAACTAAAATTAAAAGATGGGCAATGGGAGACAAAGCTATAAGCAAGTGCCGTGCGCTCTGATAACGTAGAAAACATTCAACGGCCTGGAAGGGGGAGGACAAGGAGGCAACAAGTGAAAAACAGAATGAGGTCTCTGCTTGCCTCTGGTTTTCAGGTGAGAAAAAAACTGTGTCACTTGAAACTGGAAAATCAAGTAACAGATGTTTATTTGAGAGTCCAGAGACACCCTCAGCAAAAAATTAGTGAGCAAGGGAGAGAGGAGAGAGAGAGAAGTTAACTCATAACTAATGTCAGTATGGCTCATATTAGGAAACTGAAAGACAATATCTAATTGTCTAAATAAAGAAATAACTGTGCTTGCTTTGGCAACACATACACTAAAATTGGAAAAATACAAAGAAGATTAGCATGGCCCCATGCAAGGGTGACACACTAATTTATGAAGCAGTGCGTGTTTTTCCTCACTAGTGGGGGTGAGGATTTAATGATATGGGTAACTGTTAAACCACTGTGTTGTATATTTGAAACCAATATAAGATTATGTATCAATGACACTTCAATAAAAAAGAATAAAAGAAATATAGTATATAATAAAAGTGATCATTAGTGAGCACAAGAACAATAATATATGCCTTCCTAAATATCACAGAATAAGAAAGAAAAGCATCTGTCTAGTGAAAACTACCTGGTATGTGCAACATACAGTATGTTTTTATGTCATGTATGAAATATAAAGCAATGGGGTAGACAGGGACCAAATAAATCATAGTCATATATGTAAATGGACTTGAACCATCTACAAAGAAAAATTAATTTTAGACAGATTTAAAAGTCCATCAAACAAAAAAAAAGGTGGGGGGATGATTTTGGAGGAAAGTTATTTGAAACATTGAGGTATAATCCTAGAATGGAATACTACTCAGCAATAAAAAAAGGAACAAATTCTCCATACATGCAAAAACATGGATGAATCTCAAAAATGTTATATTGAGGGAAAGAAATCAGAAGCATTCATACTGTGTCAAGTGCTCAGATATGTGAAGTTCATCTAGGGTGGAAGAAATCAGAGGAGTAATTGCCCCTAGGGATGGTGGGGAGGGTTCCAGGAAGAGAAATGACAGAACTTTCTGGGGTCAGGAAAATGTTCTGTATCTTGATGGGTGTGGATTACACAGGGTATGCATATGCATTTGTCAAAAGCAAAGAAAAGATATACTTACCACATGTACAATTCACTCTAAGTTAGTTATGCCCCAAATTAAAAGAGGGAATGGTGGCCATATTTGCCCTAAAGAGTCTCTGAGTTCTGCAGAAGCCCTGGCAGAGAAGGGCAGCTTTGCCACACAGCCAGCTACCCAAGCAGTGTGTGCAGTCCACCCCCACCTCACATCTATGGTGACTGGTCCCCAGGCCTGCTAGCAGCCTGGCCCCAAAAACACTGGCCCTGAGACAGTCATTGAGAAATAAATGTCAAGGGGGCCCCACCTTTTCAGCTGAAGCCAGTGGGGAGAGAGGCCTGTCAGGCTCTATTTCCGTAACAAAGGCAGGGCCTCCTCCTCCTTGGCTGCCTCCATTCCACAGGCCTAGAAGGGGAGGGGAACAGGGAGGCAGGGTGAAACAAAAGGGGGTAGTCATGCCTCAGTCTTCTGGTTTTGCTTTTAAAAAGCTTGTGTAGCTGAGAGGGAAAGTGGTTTGCTCAGCATTGGGTTGAAGAGGTAGATTTCCCAGATGGAGCAGGTGGGGAGGTGAGCCGGGCGGGGAGAGGCTCTCAGGAGCGTGCAGGCCCAGCTGCATCAGCGCAGACAGAGGCCATTTGCCATTGTGCCCACGGCCTTCAGCCCACTGCACTCTGAGTGAAGTGGATGGAAAACAAAGGCCCCAGGCCCAGTCACTCTCAGCCCCACCCATGGTTTAGAGGCTAATGATGGCCAGGCCAGGTAATGGGACGCAAAGGGCATGGAGGGTGGAGGAAGGAAGAAGGGAGGCTGGGGGTGGGGGAGCCTCTCAGAAGTTCTCAGGGGACCTGAGGGTCTCTCACAACCAGCCTTCCCTGCTGCCTATTCAGGGGCCTGCTTGGTCATATGAAACGACAGCCTCAAACCCAAGACCCACATGTGACGTCAGGGTTGTACCCATGCTCAGGGAAGGGACAAAGACATATACTGTCCCTCAGTCTGCGACTGGCCAGAGCCTGTGACCCAGAGGGGTCAGGGGACGCCAGGGCCAAAATGGGGTTCTCTTATCCACCACCCGCAGAAGGCCTAGCAGGGCCAGTGCACACGTGGGTGCCCAGAAGTCTCCCCTCAGACTCACTGAGTCAAGTACTTCCATATTGTAGGAAAATGTGTAATGTTGTGGAAAGATGTTCACACCATTATTCAGTGATAAACAGCAGGCCATAAATCAATATCTATGGTATGTATGATCCCATCTTTTCAAAGAGTATTTTAAAGAACATCAGAAACCCTGGAGAAAGTCTACCATAAGCTAACAATGCTTACCAGGGATTACTGGTAATTTTTCTCTTCTTTTTGCTTGTCTCTGTTTCCCAAACTTTCTAAAATAGGCATATAGTCCTTTTGTAAGAAAAAACATTTATTAATAATAAATTTTAAATGAATAATAAGTAAATACAAAGCTCCCTCTCTCACATCCTGCCACAGTATCTGAAACCCCACATCTCAAAATAATCTTTTAGGTCCAGGTCTTATCTTAGGGAGTAAAGGACAAAGCTTTGGGGGAGCCATTTATGTGCAGTCCAGGGTCCCACCCCATCATACTTTTGGACTTTGACGTGGTCATGAGCAGGAGTCTGGTGTGACACAAGGTGGACGGCTTGGCATCAAATGGTGGGGTGCTCAGGGCTCTGTGCAAATGCTGCTCTTTTGAAAGACTTTAGATACATGACCTTAAAGAGAGGGTGCCAAGTGTATCAGGACTACAGGACAGTGAAATGCCGAGCTGCTGAAAACAAATGCACAGCAGGCAGGATGGAAGGGTGGAAGGAGGGCCTAAAGGGCAGTGAAGCAAAGAGTGAGGCTGAGTGTTTAACATGGTTTGGGCTCTGTTGAGACCAGAAAGGGGCTGGAAAGAGTGTTCCCTATGAACCGATGGCTAGTGTGCCCAACGAGACCAAAGCCCTGACAGACACCAACAAGAGGGTCTCAGAAACAAAAAACGACTCTCTCATTCATGGCTGGGGGAGTATAAATGCAAACAACTTTATTGGACTGCAGTCTCAATCTGTATTGTCAATATCTGTATTGTCAATGTGCCCACCCTTTACCACAGCAATCCCTTTTCTAGGATTTTGTCCTAAGAAAATGCACGAAGAGGTACATGAAGATATGGGTAGAAAGTTTTTTGTACTTGTAAGAGGAAAAAATCGAAAGAGCATAAATATCCATCAACTGGGGATTGGTTTAATAAACCATGGGGCTTCTACATGCTAGAGTGACTATAAGTCCCATGAGCAGAGCAGTATCTATTTCATCAGTACTATACACCTAACACTTAGGAGAGTGTCTGGCACAGAGTAGGCATTTACTCAACGAAAGAAGGAACAGATGAGCAAACAGACAAAAGCTATGGATATAGTGCTTAGGAAAAGGAGTCTGAGGTCTGTTCTAGTGATATGGAAAGACAGTCACCATATGTCGTTGAGTAGAAAATATAGGTCACAGCCCAGCATGATGGATTTGCACATGCATTTGTTTGAGCTTGCAATAATTTACATGAAAACAAAATACCAAGCCTTTAGACAGGACACCCTGGAGATATCAACAGAGCTTACTGCTCGGATGTCTTGCCAATGAGTTTCAGCCCAGGGCGATTTCACTATGGATTCAGTGAGATCGAGGAATAACAATGGAACATTATTGAAATGAAAGGGTTTATTACCTGGCTTGTTATCCCGGCGATAGATTGAGCACTAAAATTATGTCTGCATCCAACGGTCTGCAGGTCTGTAATTATCCTTCATCTCTGCCTCTGCCGAGAGCACTGGGCAGAGCTCTTTATATAGAGACTCAGTCAATAATAGCTTATTGCTTACGGGTGTGGAGGTAGTAGCCTAGCAGCAGGCCAGTTACATCATCAAGTAGTTTAGGTTCAGGTAAGGAATCTGGCCATAGGAACCCCAACTTTTCCCACACTAGATGAGTTAGATTGTGGAATCTTTTACAGTTATTCTATTTGTTTATATTTCCTGACTTTTCTGTAGTAACCATATTTCAATCATATAAGAAAAACACAGTTAAGTTTAAAAACAATAACATGGAGGTCAATTCCTGACTCACAGAATCCTTGAGCATGGTAAAATGACTATTTTGAAGTTGCTAAATTTTGGGAATTTAACAATAATAAGAACCACACAGTGATGATATGGGAGAGTGTTCAGCTCATTATTTCTAAATGTTGAGTACTATTCTGTGACAGAGACATGTTACAATTAGTCCAATACACCAGCCACTGACTACTGGAAATGTTACCAGTTTTTAATATTCATTTATTCAATAAATATGTACTAAGGATCTATTATATGCCAGGCATGGAGCACGGTGCTGGGTGCTAGGAATGGTCTGGTAAACAAAGTAGGCTTTGTTCTAGAAGCTTATGTTCCAACCAATAAGAGACAGACATGGAAGAAAATCAACAATCAAATAAATGTGTAATTACAAATTGTGATAAGTACCATGGAGGAAAAAAACTCTTAATCCCTGATATGGTGTGACATTCTTGAAAATAATAAACATCTCAGGGAATAACACAAGCAGTTAGAAGTGCTGGGAGCAAAAAGCTATTGAAGGAAGGAAATAAAAAGTTTGCAACTTTGTCTCTGCAGAGAATAATATTTATATAGTCCTAATGGCTGAACTAAATGTAAACTATAAGTTTTGGGATGATGGAAAGGAAGTAGTAGGATCAGAAGACATGAGTAGATGTTTAAATTGGATAAATCAAAAACAGCTGCCATCACATGTTATTTAGAGAAACTGAGTTAACTACTAGAAAAAACAACAGAAGGTAGTTCCTTCTGAGAATGAGGACAGGTTGAGGAAGAGATGAATGGTGGAACAATTGTTTTTCATTCATTCGTTTATTCATTCAACACATACTTACTGAGCTACTTTGTTGCCAGGCCTTGTTCCAGGCACTAGGGATACAGAAGTAAACAAAACAGCCAAAAACACAGTTTATATGTCTAGAAGACAATAAAATAAGTAGACTCCATACTATGTTACAGAGTGGTGAGTGCTATAGGGAAAAACAAGCAGGAGAAAGGATGGAATAGGGGAGGAGGGTGACCATCCTAGACAGGTGTGTTAGGTAGGAAGGTAGACATGAGCAGCCAGGGAAGGGGAAGATAAAGCTTGAGGGAAAAAACTGCCCAAACTCTGCCCTGTTGGGGGTGTCCCATGTTAAGACAACAAAGGCTTTGCAGGGACATGACTTCTTTT